TATCAATTAATTTTGTATTTGAATACATTGTTGTTTAAATTGATAAAGAAAAATTTCTATGAAGGAATTATGTTCTGTAACATTGTAATGCCTTGCAGTTTTTTTTGAGAGATCATTGTAAATTTACATTGTAGATTAATTGAAATTTTATCTTTGTTACTTTACTGATAAATCTTAGAAAATACTAAATTGTTAAATTGTAGACTAATTTGCACGTGCTTTACAAGTTAACAGCTAGCATGACGAATTTCACAATTGAAACTATCAAGACAAAATATATCTTTAATTATTGCTTTACAAAACCAATCCAAATTCACAGATATTGGAATTTAAACGATTTTTAATAGACGACGTCGATATTCGTGAAGTAACCCACATCGACCTTTCTATTTTGACCACCGTTCACGTTTAATTTAAGAAAGTTCAATCAGTTCAGCAACTGGATCTGAACATTTTTGCTTTATTCATTCATTAAATTTTTCCCTATATGAAAAACAAGTCTTTAAAGACTTACCTGAGCATAGAAAAATCGATTAAATGCCAAAAAAGGTTAAATACAACCGTAAACATTAGAAGTACAGTTTGAAGCCAAAGAACTCGAGTAAAAACAATGGAAATGCATGAGGAATAACCGCAAAAATGAACAGAAGAAAAAGTTTAAAATAAACAAATGAGGAATCTATTTAAAGGAGGAAGTAAAATCGAAATAAATGAGACACTTATCTGTTTCGGATATTTAATTAAAGTCTAGATAATTTTTAAAGAATGGAAAAGAATAGCAATGGCAATTTAACTTTAACTCTAATTCAATTAAGAATCCTTGAAGTCGATTTTTTTTTTGTTGTATCAGAAACAGATTGTGTCAATGAAAAACTGGAAGCACCAAAAAGTTCCTATTTTAAATTAATATTTTTCCAATTATTTCCTTAATTTCATTTAAATGAAGAGTGTAGAAGGCACTGAAAATTGATGTAATGAAAAGTCTGTAGGAAAAATTAAATGACTTCTTCTATTTTCTGCTCTTTTCATGCTTGCCTGAAAAATATAAAACAAAATTTTTAGTAAAATTGAATTATAACTCGCACTCTCAATTATGTGTCAAAGATTCTCTTCATTTATTGTCACATCTTTATTTAATGAAAGTGAGTGTGGATGTGTTTTAAATTAGTTGAGGATGTGTTTGTGAATCGAGAATATTTTTGGAAATTTTATAGTCTTTTTGGGAAAATCTTCTAGTGTATATGAACTAAGGTTAATTTAACTTCTTATTCAATCTATCGAAATATCGTTCAAATCAAAACTAATTCAAATTAAAGCTGTTAAGATATAGTAACCAATTTATAGATATTAATGCAGCAACGAATAACTCTAACCCTCTAAAAATCTAGATCTGAGCATGATATTAATTGTATTGTCAAGAACAGCTCTATTTGTTTGTTGATCAACCTTATTAGATTGGATTCATGGATTTTCATGGAATCCAGATCCACTTCATTTGTTCCGTACAATTAGAAGCTTTTAGATTCAAATGCAGCGATAATATTGTGGAAACCGCAGAAAGCAACTCCCAAGTTTCCAAACAATTTTCGATCTGCTTTCTTCAAATGAAATCCTTTAAAATCGAGTCAATATAGTTTAAAATTCGATTGATCATCTATTCAGATTTCAAAAAGATGTGAATTAAGAATCAAATAGCGTGTACTAAGACAACTTAGTTTGCTATGAAGTTCAAATTCGTTCAAACTATTAGATCATCTTTCATAAAATGTAATTATTCCTTACTTGACGCCATTGAAATATTGCAGAAAAATTCTACACGATTCAAATTGTGAGAAAAATCAGAAATCTCATTACATTACAATCTTCTTGAATCTACATCAATCAATAATTATTCAATTAAATGCTGATCAAATATCAATTTCAGGATGGAAAGTTTTTCCTTCATAAAATCCGGGTTATTTCCCCTTCATTATTTAAAGTTCTGTTAGAACAATAATATAAATTTAAGTCAATGAACATATGACAAGTATCACTTCCATCACATGAAAGGTCAAATGCAGCAAATACACAAGCATTTATGAATGAGTAAATCATGTCATACACTTCATTATATTCATATTTATTGGCATAACAATCTAATAATCAACACAACAATTTGCCATTTGACACTCGACATAATAAAGTGGATATGAATTGGATAGACTGAGATGGAAGGGAAAGAATCTATAAATATAGAAATTATCTCTACACACGGATCGATGAAATCATAAATAAAATATTATAAAGTAGATAAAATAATATGTCAATTTCACACTTTTCATGTTGATGCCACTTCCAATCGACCGAGAAAATGATTTCTCTTTTATGAATTTAATTAAATTTTTTTATGCTGTTCTACGCTGAGGAGAAAAGAGAGAAGTGAAGATGAGGGGAATATGCTCGAAGCATTTTCATACTTGAACATCGCTTCTGATGTTTTTTGTGAGTGTCAAGTGTTATCCTACATTTCCTGTACTTTCATCTATGGATAATGGACGTATTTTCCATGTGTTTAAATAATTTCCATCCCTCATTCCAATTGGAAGGAGCTTAATAACTTTAGATGATTAAAATATTAAAAATGCTCCCTGCGGTCACATGATTTATGACAACTAATTAGTACTCACTTTTACAGCCCCAAATCTCTTCTTAAGTAATCAAAATAATTCCCATGATACAATTTTTTTTTGTGATTTAAAGTACTTCAATACGGATGATTGCTTCCATGTAAAAGAGAACCAATTACCTTGACAATTCCTTTTAGCGGATTTTTAAGAGAATTAAATAAGTCTTTTTGGCTGAATATTAAGTTCTCATAGTAACATAGTATTTCGGTATTTCCTATATTCTTGCTGCATAATTTTTATAATTTATTTGATTAATCTTAAAATCATTTAATCTTTCAAAAGTTTTTTGAACTCAAAACCTGTAGATGAGACTAGGAAGACGATGACTAGTTATATAGAAATAATATTGTGCTAAAGCAGTGTTTCTCAACCTTTTCTAAATGCAACCAACTTGTCAAGTGTATATTTAGAATTTTACACCATTTTACACAAAGGACATGAAGTATTTGGCGGGTCACAAGTGCATCGTAGAACATAGTTTGTGAAGCACTGTGCACAATGATTCAGATTCGGAAAAAATGTTCAAAAATTCCTTGTGCACAATACTTTTCCGACACATTAGAAAATTGAAAGTTTTTGTTAATTTCTCTTGATTTGAATCTTTTAGCATCTTCTAGATAATGTTTTCGTTCATTGCTCAAAAAATCAGTCCTTAATATAAAGGATAAACATGATTTTTTACCAAAACTTTGTAAAAGTTTATCAAAAAATATTGTGCATGATCAAATTTTGTATGAAAATTGATGTAAACTTTGATCGCAAATATCTCGAAAACGGCATCAAACGGCATGTCCCCAGTTGTATGGGAGATAGATTTGAGCTTAATTAATTGATTTGTATAGGTTTCAAAGAGGTCTTTGGAAGACTTTTTAACTTATGAATAGTTTAAGTTTTGTAAAAATACTCAGATTTCAATTCATTTTTAAGGCTTAATAAGCAGATTTCTATTGAGTTTGTTGTTTTAATATGTAAAGCTAAGCTTAAATTAGCTAGTAACTGCTTTCAAGACATCCAAATAACAACTTAAAGTAGAAAAAATCATATTTTTTTTTCATACACAAATTGTAAACAAATTTTGGGTGAGATTAAATTGATGATTTCTGGAGTTAGACATCAAATTGGGACGAGATATTTTCATAGGATATGCCTCAAGTTAAGATCTTTAATCTGGCATTTAAAAGATGAAGTTTAATTAATATGTTATTTTTGAATTTTTGAACATTTTTTCCGATTCTGAATCATTGTGCTGTGTTATAGTTAATAGAAGAAAGTGCATAAGATGGGCTATTTAATTTCGAAACCAGTTTGACTAGATTTGAATAAGACGAGAAGAAATTAAACATATTTGGAAGCATTATGTTGAGTTTGTCTATGTTTTATGCTTCATTGAGAATGATATGTCTGCCGGACAGTGAAATATTGTCTGTACCAATGCTATTTAGGACTATATTCAAGGAAATATAACTTCAATTTAAAAAAACTCGCTTAAAACTCTTAAAAATGGTATTTATTGATCCATAACTCTGAAATTTAATTTTTGGGATATAGTGCCACATAAAGCAAACCTGTCAGTAATCTAGTAAGGTTACGGTAGATAAATCATTAGACATAATATTGAGAACGTGTAAATTAATCTTTCCTGTAGACGTTGGTTCAATTCCCATGAAAAACTGATCTCTTAATCATTATAAAGTTCAATACTGGATTTTTAAAAAGATAAAGATTCACAAATTCTTCAAATCAATTAAAAACCATAGAAAAATGCGCGTCTCTACCCTAAAACATTCAATAAAAATGCCCCATTTACTTCGCTCACTTCATTCTTCTCATCACATCTCGTTTCTCTCAGAACAATACGAGCATTTCGCGAAATAAGGAACGAGAAGTAGGAAAAAAATAAAGTCAGTGAATGATATCAGAGTGAATTGAATAGATTGGAAGCAATAATAAATAAGTAAGTAAGTAAGGAGAGCCACAAAGTCGCAATAATCCTGACATGTTCCATCATAGTAGAAATAAGAAAATCTTGTACACTGTCAACGGCAAATTACGAAAGAGAGTGGAATTGCATGATATATTATTAGTGCCAGCAGTGGAGTGAGAGTTACAAGAAGGGAAAAAATATTTTTAATGCGATTAAAGGAATAATTTTCATCATTGTAATCGTCTCCTTATTTTTTTGAGTGATATTGAATGTGATTCCGTGATGAGATGAGCTTAACGTGGATGGAGTTTTAAGCCTTAATTTACAAAAAAAAAATAATTTTTATCCTCAATTTCACTTTCCATTTCCAATATAGATATAGTTGCCACATTTAGAGGGCTACAACAGTAATGCAAACATCAGAGGAAGGCGTTCAACAGACCGAACTAAAGTCGAGTCCCAGCAATCCATTCCGAAATCCACAACAGTTACAACAACTACAGCAGCAACAATCAATTTATCCGCCAAATTATCAGAGCGCCAGTATAGACAGTACAGGAGGAGGTGGTGAATGTAAAGGAGGTGAATTTAAAGGTGGTGAACATTTTTTGTCATCATGGGGCAACTTCCATTCATGGATGATACGATGGCGTGGATCACGAAGGTTGGTTCTCGTTATCGTTGCCATAGCTTTGCTGTTGGATAATATGCTTTTGACTGTAGTTGGTGAGTAGCTAGTTTATGTTTTTGATGATTGTTAAACAGAAGTTTGTGGATAGAATGTAAAGTAAGAAGATTTTACTAGAATTGATGATACTTTCCTGAAATTCTTACTGAAAGCACTTTCGATAGTTATTAAAAGTATACCTTCAGTGGGAATCGAACACGGTTTTTGTGAGATAATCACTGCTTTTCAGTTGAGGTCTTCTAGATTCGGTCGTAGATGATTAATCTTTAGAGATCTAAACCTAGCAGAACTGCAAACATATAGCTTAATGTTATGAGCATTTCAAGGATCTTAAGCAATTATCAGACAAAAGGGATACAATGTGTATACAAACTCTCTCGCATCACTTCATTTAGCCTACTTTGTGTCAAGAGACTTTTCAATGCATCACATAAATGCAACAAGTTCCAATGCGCTGCATTTTCAATTCTCACAAGCAAACTGTTGAATATACATGCACACATAAATCTTTCGTATTCTCAAGGGACTAATCTCTTTTTCTCTTCGTGTATTATTTAATGGCACTGAATGAGAATTTTCTACTTCCGTTCTCGTTTTTGAAACTTTTTCACACAAAAAAAGGGAACTTTTTAAAATAGTCACTTTCATGCTTCCTTTCCTTTTCTTCATGCCTTTGATCAAACAATGACAAAATAAAGAAATGAAGGAAGTTAAAAAAATCAAGTCAAAGACTAGCTAGTTAATATTGAAATTGATGTCCCCATAGGATCCTCTCATTTCCATTCATAAAGATGAGCATTTAAAGTAAGATTTAAATTTTTATTGCCGGCATCTTCTTACATTCCCGACTCGCAATTTGAATTTCTTTTCAATAAAAGTTTATTCAACTGCAATAAATGTTATTCAATAAGCTAATAACATGAATCGCTATTGATGTTATTCAGCATATAAAATGGATTTTCCTATTATTGCATTGTCGCCGTTTATTAAACATACAATTTACACTTGATTAAACAATAATTGTAGCAAGGAGGATAAAAACAAACAACTTATTGTTGCTTCTTATCTGATATACTCTTTTTTATGTGAATATGTTGAAGCTTTTGGCATTATTGGACATTTGATATTAATAGGGGCACTTTCATTATATTTGGAATGAAATTTCTATGTTAAATTAGCAAATGTGGATTGTATAGCTTCACTGGATCTGGAAGATGTTTGATAGAAGTTTTAATTATATCAACATTAACATTCAGGACTTCATTTAAAAGCCTTTTGAATTCCTTTTGTCTTCTTTGCATCGATTATGGATCTAGATGCTAGAAATACAGACAAATGATTTGAAATTGGCATTTTGTCAGTATCATTAGCATGATTCGATCACTCAGAATTGAGTTGAAGCAAGCAATCATGAAAATTGAGAAAATAGTATTGGAAGTCCTAATTGGTTCGATTTCAATCGGGGATAAATCTTTTTAACAAACTTAACTGTAGAATTTTGAGATCTCAAATCATCTAAAATTTAAGTTCTATTCTTTCTGAATTATCGATCAAAGCCGCAATTTGGGATATTCAGCTCCAAATATAAAGTTAATTATGTATTGAGTACGAGGACGGGATTCATTTCAACACTGCTCCTGAAAATTATATTCCTAACGCTAGTTTAAGCTGTTGAATCCACGATTTATTGTTTGATCCTGGGGCTCGCTTCTTAGTCTACCTTGAACACCTTACTCTGGTCACAATCAACTTCTATGATTTCACAACTGACTTTTGATCATTTAGACCACACCCTTTATTCATAACATTTCTATCAACGCCCCTATATTCCTATTATGTTTATAGTATCTTAAAGTTAATCAATCTCAGAGTCACTCATCAGCACAAACTTAATTAAAGTAAAACGAAGCCAAAAATCATTCAAACTCATGACATTTGATTCCACTTTCTAATATCAATTAATTTAAGTAGCACTGACTTCTTATTTCATTTAGCATGTAATATACTCACGAAATAAGTACGAATCCATCATCGCATGGTCACTTACCAAGTGTATGTGGAAATAGAAGACAGAAAAATGTGATTATAGAACATAAAATGTTACTTAGACCAAAAAGGAGGCTAAGGAATTGTGTAAATAAAAATAAAAGTGAAGGAGCCATTTGTAGAACTGTTAAATGTATCGTACGCAATGTTGTGTTAATGATATGTGCATAAATTTTCTATTTATTATCAGACAGCTACCCACCGCCACACACAAACATTTTCTTATCGCCCTCACTTGATTTTTATTTCCATAAATTTCTATTCTTCTCATACTATTTATTATTCCCTCACTAGCTTCTTCTTCATTTAACAAAATTGAATTTTTCTTTTTTTTTGTGGTTGGAAATGTTTTCAAGTGATTCTCTCTTGTTGCCTCTAGCCTCTTCTAGTGAAATTGTTGACATGACGAAATCTCGAGTTTCAGTTTGAGGAAAATAAATAAAAAAAAAGTAGTTATCTCTTGATGTGAGAATTAATGTTTGACCACTTTTCACTGCAAACTACTAAAACATTTTTCTTTTCAATTTCTCTATTTTATTTGAATTTGTTTATTTATTTGTATAGATTGATTATTTAATTTTTTACACATTTACTCATCCTTATATGGATGAATATAATGTTTATTTATCAGCATCTATCACCATGTAGGGAATTGGATGAAATGAGATTAATGATGAGTTATTTATTTAATTTCTTTTTATTTTAAGAAATTTTGAAATTGAGAATATCAGCGGAATTTTAGATTTTAAAGCTATTCAATTCAAAACTTACAATTTCGTTTAAATCAAATCCTACAATTTCGTTTAATTCAAATTCTATAAATCTGTTAAATTCAAATCTTAAAAACCCGTTGAATTCAAATCTTTCAAAAAATTCAACAAATTCTGTTACTACAAAATTATCCAATAATTCTCAAACCTCACGATTTTCATAAAATTATCACAAAAATCTTCCCGACAATCCACAACCAATAGCACCAAAAGTACAAACTGGTACAAACATTTTACTCAACGATTTCTTTACGAATTAAAAAAAAATCAAAGAAATTGCTTCTTCACTCATTGTCCTCCTATTTTACTTTGTACTTCACAAAAGAAGTAAAAAAATACCACAATTGCCGAGGGAATAAGGAAGGAGAAGAAGCAATTGAAAAGCGAGTAAATCAAATAGAAATTTTCCCTTCTTCTCACACAAATCAACAATTCTTACTTTACCCACTTTCATTTAATGTTTGGTCAGTGAAAAGAAAAAAGAATCGAGTTGGAGAGGGTGCGAGAGCAGTTCTAACAAAAGAAATCGAAGGAAGTGGAAGATAAAAAGTCGAATGGTTCATGTTTTATTAAACACTTTTTTTTGTGTGAGCATGTTGTTTGAAATCATTTGTTGAAGGAAAATGAATGCTGAATTTTCTCACATCTCGCATCACTTCACCTTAGTACGATAAATATTTAAGCGTAAAATGATTTATTGTTGGAGATTTTCTTTCACTCTATCCACAAACTTTTTACGACTGTTTGTATTTATCTTGTGCCTTTTAAAAATCTCCTCATCCTTTTAATGTTCATTTGCTTTTTTTCTTTACAGTCCCGATTATACCAGAATTTATTTATGATATAAGACATCCGGATGCACCTCTATCTAGTTTCCCAAAGTCTCCTCCACCGATGACAACTCCTGCAGATAGCGATGCACTTGGAAGTGATTACACCACATCTAGCTACGGTAAGAACTGAAGATTTGGGTTGACAAGTGACAAACTTTACGGAACTAACCGATGAGAATGTCTTACGTCTGGTTTAACAAGTCTAGTGATCTACTCGGGTTTATAAATATGATTTCTAAATATTCCCGCCAAAATCAAGGCACTTGTTGTTCCCAAATGTCTAAATAATATCAATTATTGTTGAGAACATAACCTCAAAAATATTTCAACCACCATTTTTCTTTTCTCACACTAGATAACGCAAGTTGGTACGCAGAAAGAGAAGAGCGTCATAAAGAACTCGTCGATGAAACGGCTGAGATCGGTGTGATGTTTGCCTCAAAAGCCTTTGTGCAGCTTCTTTCGAATCCTTTTGTAGGGCCATTGACTCATAAGTATGGACACTGATTATGTTTATCTTTACAATCAATTTTAATTTGATTACTTCTTTTATCCACAGAATTGGTTACAGGTTTGTTTAGCATTCTTGGACGATGACATAAAGTCAAATAAATTTATTTTAGAATTTTACTTCCTTTAGTATACCAATGTTTGCAGGATTTGTCATCATGTTCTTATCAACCTTAAGTAAATATCAAATAAGATACAGCACAACAATTGATGATTGATAAGACTAATTTTATTTATTTTGTATAGTATTTGCGTTTGGTCGTACATATCCAGTTCTTTTTATTGCACGTGCATTACAAGGTATTGGTTCTTCATGTTCGTCCGTTAGTGGAATGGGAATGTTAGCAGATCGCTACACAGATGATAAGGAACGTGGTAATGCTATGGGTTTTGCACTTGGTGGTCTTGCACTTGGAGTACTTATCGGTAGGTCTTAAAAGTCTATTAACCTTTCATTGAATATTCAAGCCTCATATCCTCAGGTCCACCATTCGGAGGTTTTATGTACGAGTTTGTCGGCAAAACTGCACCTTTCCTTGTTCTATCTTTCCTTGCTCTTGGTGACGGAATGCTTCAGCTTTTTATGCTCCAACCATCAGTTGCACATTCAGAATCGGAAGCTCCTTCACTTAAGGCACTTATCATGGATCCATATATTCTCATAGCAGCAGGTGCAATCACATTTGCTAATATGGGAATCGCTATGTTGGAACCATCGTTGCCGATTTGGATGATGGATAATATGGATGCATCAAGATGGGAACAAGGCGTGACTTTCCTTCCTGCATCAATTAGTTATCTTATAGGAACAAATCTGTTTGGACCATTGGGACATCGAATTGGCAGATGGAGAGCTGCATTGATTGGACTTGTTATGATTGGAGCTTGTTTGATTGCTGTAAGTTTCTTTGCTTCTTAGAATTAACATTTGATGTCATTAAAATTGTTTTCATCCAATAGATTCCATCAGCAACATCCATGTACCATCTCATTCTGCCAAATGCTGGATTAGGCTTTGCTATTGGTATGGTTGATTCATGTATGATGCCTGAGCTTGGATATCTCGTCGATATTCGACATTCTGCTGTGTATGGAAGTGTTTATGCTTTAGGTGATGTCGCATTTTGTCTTGGCTTCGCTATCGGACCGGCTCTTAGGTAAATTTTTTGTGAATGGAAGGATCTTGTCCATTATTTGAAGAAGTTCTATAAATAAACTTTGAGTGGATTCTCAACAAATCCCCAATAAATAATGATAATCCTTAATATTGATTCCAATGTCCTATTTTCATTTCTGTAGTGGAACATTAGTAAAGAATATTGGATTCGAGTGGATGATGTTTGGTATAGGTGTTTTATGTTTCATTTATGCACCATTACTACTATTCCTTAAAGCTCCACCAACAAAGGAAGAGAAAAAGGTGGGTGATGACGATGGTTATACTAACAATGCGATTGATTTATGTGATGAAAATTCAAATAAAACTCATGAGAATAATGGAATTGCAGCTGAGAATTTATTTACCAAGTTATGATTTCTCGATATTGTTTTTATTTATTTAAGTGATTAATTTAGTTCCATTTCATGTACTTTTATTGTAGTTTGATTTATTTATTTTATTATTATTGTTATTGTTGTCAATTCTTATGATTTTTTATGTAACTCAATAAAATGCTTTGTTTTAAGTTTATAAATATTTATGATTTTTGTAGCTTGTGTTTTTATTTTTAATTCTGTGAATTTTTTGATTATCTTTGTTTCGAAACCTTTTTCGAACTTAAATTCGAATTTTGAAAAAATTTCGAACTTAAATTCGAATTTTGAAACATTTTTCGAATTTAAATTTGAATTTTGAAAACTTTTTTGAACTTGAATTCGAATTTCGAAACCTTTTTCGAACTCAACTTCGAATTTTGAAAAGGAAACCAAATTCTGAATGTAATCGAATTAAAATCTATTTTATACTCAACTAAACTTACTTATCATTCAATCCCTTTCTATCTCTTTCCAAAAACACACAAAATATTCCCAACAATACAGCAATTAATAACAGGAGATCGCTCATCAGTTCGATACACTTCATATCAAAATGAAGAAGATGAAGAGTAATAAATGCCATAAACAACATACAACAAACAAGCAAAAAAGAACTTTTATGTCACCGATTATATTCGAAATTCTACATTTATCTCATTCAATAATCACAGCATCAAAAATTGAACCAACAATTTTTCATTTTAGTGGACGCCTGGATTACTTTATCTGAAGATATTTGTGTTGCAGATACGGAAACTTAATCATCATTGTCATTTTTGTAATCAGAGAATCAGTGGTAATTTGAGGTTTGTAAGAATATTGCTTTAATATCGTCTTTGGATGTTTCAAGATTGTCCATAGATTGATTTTGAAGTGTTGATTGCTGCCTGGAACTGCCATTTGAACATTGATTTTTTATTTGTACTATTACTCCCTACATACATCGTAATGTGTCAATCGTTTTAAAACATTTGACAGAGTTGCAAAGGATTTCCTTAACTCGGTTGAAGATTTTGAAACGCTCATTAAAAATAACGATGAAATCTACAATGAGCTTCTCAAAGCTCACCAAAAAGCTTTGTAAAACTTTTAAGTGAAGCTTTTGATTAAGTTGAATTGAAAAGTTTTAAGAAAGCTTTTTGACAAAATAAAATAAGAAACTTTCGAGTTTTCAAGATAACCAAAGAAAAGAAAAGAAAAATTGTATTATTGAGCTCAAGTAAATACCTATGTAAGAAGAGCTTCAAACTAATTTACTTAATAATTGATTAATCTGACAAAATATGGGAAATACATTAAAAATATTTTCGAAAACATCAGAAAGAAGCTTTCAACAAGCTGAGATAGAAACTTATTATCATATAATCAAAATATGTTTAGACACAGATTTTTAGGCAATCTTGGTTTTTTCATTAAAAAAGTGTTTTCACAAATCTTAATCATACATACAAATTACATAAAGTTATATCCAACATTATATCAATATAACCTATATTGTCACTAACTAGATGTCGTATATCAATAATAATATTAATAATCAAGAATATCAAGAAAAAATATTGTATTTGGTCTTTGTATCATGGTCATGCATAACAACATCTATGAAAAAAAAATAATAATCATTGAGAGAACAACAAGAGAGAAAATTTGAATGGCTGCAAATTTTCTTTCTTTTTGGATGATTAACATCAATTCCCTTCCGGCTTGGTCACCGGAGGATGAATAGTAATCTTAACTTTTAAACAAATAATGAGGTTTTGTTTATTTCTGTTATGATTAGTAAAATATTTATTATTTAATATTATATATTTAAAATATGAGATGAAGCAATTTCCATCGAAAGCTTAAAACAAACTTGGAAATTTTAAACTAATCGATTGATGTCTGAAGAATATAAATCATATTTACTACATGAATAGATGTGCGTTTTTGATTCAAATATTTAATACTTACATATGTGTAGTACTTTCAATGTGCAATACAAACCCCCAAGATAACAACTTGCTTTTCATATAAAAAAAAATATTTGAAAGAAATTTTGAAGAAAAAAAACATAAAATATAAATCTTATTTATTTAGGCAAGAAGCTTTAATAAAAGGATTGTAGGATTGCATTAGTAAAAAGATTGTAGGTGTAAGTGTCTAGGATTAGATTTCTGTGTAGCTTCATGCTGAAAACTCCCAATCTATATAATTTTGGTTAGATCCTAAAGCTGACTGATTCTTTGACTTTCAGTTCAGATGTTTGCACATCTACAGGTAGCTAAACTGAGCTTAAAGAACAAGATTCTAATCATATCTGATCATTATTGACAAATTTAAGTCATCTATAGTCATTTTGTATCAAGTTTGATCAATTTGAAAGAAGTTTGATCAGTTTGAAAGAAGTTTGATCACTTCTAGACTACTATTGACTAGTTTGATCATGATCCGATGGTGTAGACTACCTCGACTTGAGTTCTATATTCTTCCTCAGCAACTTACATTTCATAAAGATATAATAGATCCATAAAAAGTGAATTTAACAAAACCAAACATTTTAAACTCATATAAATCAACCTAATCCCAAAAATTCTTACTAATATAGATAAGGTAAAGTACCCTAATCATATAAACCATCCCATTCCTAACATCCCATACCATAGTATGAAGTTATGCAGCATACTGAATGTCTAATTTAATAATCTCATACATATTAATATTGATTTCAAGATATTCACTTATTCAATACAAAAATAAAAATCATGTGAGAATTTTATTGAAAACAAGTCATAAAGGCATATATTAAACACATACAGATATAGCTGTCATGAGTCGTAGATATAGAAAATTATTGATTATTCAAAACAAAAAATTGAACAAAAAAAATGATGCTGAAAATTTTATTATCCATGTGTATTTATAGTAATAAAGAAAAACATAATATTTGACGAGACATACAATTTACTTACTTAAAGACAAAATGCGATTTTTAAAAATAAATTTTTCAAATTTTCCCCCTATTCTATATTTTATATCTTTCTTAGCTTTAAATGGGTAAATTCACTCTATGAATTGCTGACTCAATCAAAAATAAATATTATATTTGCATGATAAATGAACTTGATGTCTTTAAAGCTTCATATTTGAAAAAAAAAGAAGAATCAGTCTTGATTTATCCTTTAAAAGAAATCACAGTTTGCGTTGTACAGGGAAAAAAATTGATCAGTTTTTGCATAAAATTTTTATGATTTTTGAAACCTTCTCATTGCATAAATGAATCAGCATATCCCAAAAATGATTATATTCATGTAATTGTGTGTCACACTTATAATAAGAATAACTAAGAATAACCAAGAGCAAAGCATATAATGAAAAACAAATAATTGACGTTCAAAAAAGAAAAAAAAAACGCTTTTCAAAATATTCTTTAATTTTCTTAATTTAACTTGAAAACAAAAATATGTGAAAAAATTGTATTCTGCTATTATTGTGAATCGACAATAAATAGCATCAACAAGATTAAAGCTTGAATGTATTTTTCATTATAATTTTCTTTAAATCTTCAATTGCAAACACGTGAAGAACTTTTCATTTCCTGTAAATTTTCTTGAAAAGTCAATAGCTGGTTTTGGGGTCAAAAAAAAGATGTAGCAACAAAGATGTTTTATTTATGAAGCCAAGATATAACTTTAGATTTATAGCATACAATTTACTCGCTTATTATAGATGAAAATTTAATGCTGAAGTCCATACAATGATGCAGCTATTTTTTAGAAAATTTAATCATAGCACTTTCATAGATTATATTGTCATGCATGTAGCAGATGCTTGAAAAATGCAACAAAATTTTTAAGGGATATCTTAAACCTTTGCAGATGATAAATTTACACAATTTCGAAGATATTTTAATGGACAATTAAATAAATAATTATTATACTATAGATTTATAAAGTTATGCTTTGTAATCAGATACTTACAAAAAATTATATACTTAACGGAAACGATGTTTATTGAGATTGTTCTTTTTGTGAAATGAAATTTTATCGCAAAAAGTTGAGAGGATAAATGAAAAGTTTAATTAAAAATGAAGAAAAATGTGTTATCGAAATATTGTTAACCTTGCTCAGAATACAATTAATCCTTATGATATTCCTAAACTTATACTATTAATACAACAAACAAAACAAAAAACATGATGAAATATATCAAATTATTGATGAAAGTTATAACAATTATTGATGATATGAATGTACAATTTTGAAAGAAAAAAGGGAACATAAAATAAATAAAGATGTTGTTGTTGTTGGTAAAACCTAGCTTACCTCTATGTTTTTGATTTTGTCTTCATATTCCTTTAGTTTTGTTTGAATTCAAACTTAAAACCCGTTGAAATTGCTTTTTAATTCCTCATCGACTTCTGAAACTGATTGAAACTTAATCAAACTAATCCAGCAAACCACAAATTTACAGTTTTTTTTTAAAATTTTAAATAATTTATTTACACCTTCTTTTCTAATTTTAAAAGAAAATTTTTAAATTTTGTTGGCGAAATGTAAAACACAAATTAGAATTTTTATAATTTTATAAATGTCTAGTCTAAAAATGTTGATCATAATCTCTATATCTCCTGGTATTACTAGTATTAAAATTATGACTACTGCCTGGATGGTATGGATTCTCATTCCAGCCTTCATTCCAATTTGGCTCCATGAAACGGTTCGTGCCACTACTACTGTATGGATGATGATTCTGTTGCTGCTGTTGTTGTTGTGCTTGATGCTGCTTTGGTTTGAACTCATTGTATGGATCATGGGAATCGTAATAGAACTCGTCAGCTTGATATCGCTGAATGTGCTGCGATCTCCAACTATCGTAGATATTTGGATTGCTTCCTTTGGCGGGTTGCATGCGCTAGAATGAAAAATTAGAAAACTTAGTAAAACTATTGAGTGTTCCTAGTGAGATACTCACTTTAGGCTTGACATCAGATCTTCTTTCGTCCCAAGTATCCTCGAGATTGTAGGCATCTTCTGCACCATAATTATCAAAGCCTCCCATATGATTCTTATTAAGTTCATTAAGCATATCAGCTGTGAGCGGAGTTGGTCCCTTCTTCTTAGCTGCTTTCTTTCTGTTAATGAGCTGAAATGGAATCAAAATCACATTAATTTAACACGTTACTGATTCTTGATAATTAGAATAGCTTACAACAGCAACTCCAAAGAGAACACTACAGACAAGTGACAGCAGGCCAATGGTTATCATTGCAATGGCCCATTGAGGTAATAAGACGTCTTCATCTTCCTCGTCTGAATTTATTGTAGCTACTTTCTGTATGACTGTAATTATGAATATAGATTAAAATTATGCTAGCTACAAAAGTCAACCTTAACTTACCAATAAAGTCAGTTGAAATTGGATCAACAACAAAATTTCCCAATTTATATGCTTCCTTTACAATTGGTTGTGGATATGCTTCATTTTCGTCTTCGCTTGGTGCTTTCTTTTCCACTGTAGCTGGTTCAAGTGCATCATGGAACAATTTCTTAATTTCCGTCGTGTTCATCTCATTTGGAATGTCTTTCAATTCAATAAAATAGTCGACAAGCACACTTCCTTTACTAAATGCGTCAATTCGAATGCTTTTGTACCATTTGCTGAGCATCTCTGATTTAGTATAGACTTCATTCAAGTCAGACTCGAGCTCAGTTGCTAGGTTTTTGTATTCTTCTGTATGATGTGTTAGAAGTTCTGGCGACCATTCAATTCCATCAATAATTCGAATTGTTGCAGCTAAGCTGCAATCTGTTTTACAAACTGTAGCTTCTCGTGGACGGGGTGTCGTTGTTGTAGTTGTACTGGTTGTTGTTGTCGTTGTTGTAGTGAAAAAAGGAGTTGTAAATTGTTCAGTTGTTGATCTGGCTAGGATTTCAGAAATATCGATTTGCATGGCATTCTTCTGAATCTCTAAGAATTTTTCTAATGAAAATGGAGTTGTTGGTTTTGATGGCCATCCAGTAAATAATGTTGTGGCACGTGTTGGAGGTCCTTTTCTGATTTCAATCTCTGGTGGTTTTGGACCTTCTCCCATATTTGATTTTGGGGTAGTTACTCTAGCAGGTTTCTTGTATGCTCGTGTTGGGAATACTAATTTACCAGATTTTGTGGTTGATGACGATTCTTCAACTGGCTCCTCTGTTGTTGATGATGGACCATTTTCTGAGAATCCAGGTGGTAAAGGAATAGCAACTTCTGTAAATTTAATCTTATTCAATATACTTGAAATGTCATCCTTAACATCTTCTTTTTCTTTTTCTTCTGTTGGAGGTTTATAGCCTGGCGGTAAAAACTTGTTTAAGTCATCCTCAATGACTTTAATTTTTGGAGTCTCTGTTGATGTTGTTGTTGGATCTAATTTAAATCCTGGTGGAAGGAACTTGCTCAGTTCATCAGTTACAATTGGAATGACTGCAACACTTTCATTCTTTGCTTTGTCTTTAAAATCTGGTGGCAAGAACTTGCTGATGTCAAGTTCAGCATCGGATGATTCGAATAATTTGTTGAATTTCTTGGTCGTGTCATTTTCAGATTTTGGCAAATTGAACTTGTCTTTACTCTTAAGTTTTGAATTAAGATCCTGAGGGCTTGGTTGTGATTTAAATGACCGGCTGATTGTGGCATTTCGTGACTTTCCAGCAGCTAATTCTTCTTTTGTTGTTTCTGGCTGTGAGGTTGTTGTGCTGAATTTCTTATTCTTAAATGATGGCCTGAGTTTATATCCTGGAGGAAGTAAGCCAGCTAAATCCTCATTTGGAGCGTCTTCAAATGAAATCTTCTTGTTAGAACGCTGGCTAGATTCCAGGACTGAGTTATTTTGTGTCGTTGTAATTGGTTCCTCTGTCGTTGTGCTGGTTGTCGTTGGATGTGGTGTTGTGGATTTAATTGTGACTTTTATGCTAGTCGTGGTTATTGGTTTTCTCGTTGTACTTTGAGCTTTTGGACTGAATTTTCTAATTAGCACTAATGGTTTTACAGTTGTTGGAGCTTCAATTTCTTTTGGTACCTCCACTTCTTCTTCTGATGGAGTTGCTTCTGTAGAACTTGATGGCTGTACTGAACTTACAGGTTTAGTCTTTTTTGATGAATTATCTTTAAGAACTGGAAATTCACCGCTCAAGACACCAAGTGATAAGTCTGACTGTATTCCATCCAATTTATCAATAATGCTTTCAGTTGAAGGCAATGGAATGTTTCTTACTGTTGTTGGAACTGTCGTTGGTGCTTCCTCAAGTGAATATGAGGCAGTGGTTGTAACCTCTGAGCTATGGTAATCTTCTTCGTCTTGTACTTCTGCTGATACATTTTCAGTCTCGGAAATTTGAGTTGTTTTGACTTCTGGAATATCAGTAGCACTTTCAACACCATTTAGTGCCTTCTTATTTGTCAGTTCTGATCGACTTTGAATCACTTCTTTCTGTTCTACATGAGGGAATGGCAAGAAATGAGCACCAGAGACACTTCTACTAGTCTGAACTGATGCAATAACAACATAATTGCTATCTGTTGTGGATTTAGTGGGTGATGGTCTAGTTGGTGGATAATTTTCTGCTTCCGTTGTCGTTTCCTCTGCAAATTGCTGAACATTTAACTCTTCAGATGATCTCGAAAACGTTCCATTTACGACAGTTTTGGAAGTCACAACAGACACGACTGCTTCACTTAAAATTCGGTTTGGATCTCTAAATGTTGTTATTTCCACAATTTCTTCACTTTCTGGCTTAGTCGTTGTTGGTTTGTCAGTTGTTTTTACTTCCGGCGCATCAGTTTCATCCTCATATTCATACTCATACTCTACTTCCTCATCATCATCATTCTGTTCACCTATATCTTGATTTTTTGGTAAAATGAAGTTATCAAAAATAATTTTCGTGTGATCTTCCGGCTTATTTGTTGTTGGAATAGGTGAAGTTGTTGTAGTAATTGGTATTTTCGTTGTTGGAATGATTGTTGTTGGTATATAGCTTTTCTCCTTTTTCGCACGATCATTTTCATTCAAAATTACCCCATAATCATCATCATCTTCTTCATAATCAATATACTCAACATCATCATCTTCACCTGAATTTTCATCGAATTGTTCCCGTGTATTATCACTAGCAGCATTTAATGCCTTGACAGACAATGGATTTGGATTTTTCTCTTCACCATTATGTGTTATGTTAACATGATATCCAAGCGGTCTCACATTCAATGTTGATTTTACTTTATTGTTTTTCGTGAATGCATACTTTTGATCATTGTATTCAGCATCTGATTCAGTTTGTTTAGGTTGAGGTCGTTTCGATGTCGTGCTTCTAGAAGTCAAGAAAAAGAGGAGCAAGAATGAGATAGAATAAGAAGTTATAAGTGCATAAATTATTGTTCACCTTGTAATTGGCGTATATCGTGATTTTTTTGCCAGCTCTTCTCTCGATATCTTAGCTCTTGGTGTCGTTGTAATTATTGATGTGGGCTCAACAGTTGTTGTAATTGGTCGTTGCCTTAAATTCTCTAGAAATCTATCCTTATTCGTTTTAATGCTTGTGGAATGACTAGGAACTCGTTCGATGCTTCTGTTCTCATCTGAGGTTCTTTGGAATGTCGATCCTCCGCGAGATTTTGGTGCTTTTATATATGTTTGACTCTCATCGTACTCGTCAATTTGTGACTGCATAAAAAGATTAATTTTTCAAGGTATTTGGGTTAATACTTTTTGACAACTACAAAATTAATGATTTATTAATTAATATGCCACCCAGGAAAAACTTGCAATGTCCAAATTCGTGTAGCCCACATCCAAAAAGAATTTTAACGAGGAACGTAAATTTTTTTTGTCAATAAATTTGGCACGGTTAACAGTTTAATTATTGAAAAAAAAAACCATTCAATCGAATGTGGTGTTTTGGAAACACAAAATTTTGTGCTTATATTGTAAGTGCACATAGAGGCTTTACTAACAATGGTTTCACAATAGTTCATCAACAAAAGCAATTTAATCAAACTTAATATTTGATGTTTATAGAAATATTGGAAGTATTGTCTGCGTTTTGTCTTAGAAAAATGAAGGACTAGGTTGTTTTCTATTGATAGAATAGTAAGGAACGTGATTATTAAATAAACTGAGTAGAGATCGTGATACTAGAGTAGCCATGGTCCATGGCATTGAGAGAAATAATCAAAAGTTTTATAAATTATTGTGAAAAGTTGTGTCAATGACAAACTAGACATGCTGATTTGTTCCTGAATAATCATTTCTTTAAAAAAAATTCTTCTTGTCATTTGTCATAGCAAAAGCAACTATTGGCAATCTCTCTTTGTGCAGGCAAAATTACTAGGACAACAGTAAGCTTCTTGTAGTCAAATGATTAAGAAACAGATCAGAACTCAGTAAACCTTTCGGATCTTTATCAAATTTAATTCAAACTTTAGAAGCTAGATACTAGAATGTAGTCCGTTCAAAGGAAGGTTACCCCAAGAAACAATAAAAGCTTCCTCCAAAGGCTTCAAATAATCACAACGAATACAGCACAATATATTCTTAACTTAGGAGAATTAAAACTTAACAGCAATACTAAAAACTGCCCTTAAGTATTTGACAAAGCTAGTAATATTATAAACCGTATAAATTCAACAATAATATGCGCCACAGCATACAAAACTTAGACTTCTAAAACTCGATTATTGCAATTTAATCAGTGCTTCATGTTTGTGCTTTTTCTTCCTCTTCTTTCGTGACTAAAACACAAGTTTTATTTTTGTCGCGATTAAAAGCAATTTACGCCTTGCCATTCAACTTCAACTATGTATAACCGAGAAAATTATTAGTGCATTCTGAGGTTGGTTTTGACTATACACAAAAAAAAACTATGTCAGTCTTGCATGTACATTTGATATGAAGGTGGTGGTAACAAGAAATCATTTCCTTACCTCATCGTAGCCTGTCGAATCTAAATATGGACTTAATCGTTGTGGCTGTTGCTGTGCAGGAGGTGCAGATGGTGCAAAGTTATAAGGATTAGACTCAAATTGATATCCTCCATTTTGTCGACCACTTGTTTGACCGAAATTGGAAAATTGTCCTCTATTTGGCAATGGCGATGGAGTTACGAATGGTCGTGGTGATATTTCAAAAGGATTTGGTGCTCGAGTTGTCTGTAAAACAAGGCATACAAAATGAGTTTAATTATGAATATTGTTTTAATTAAAGTCAAGTAGCTACGGTCTATTAGATTTTTACAATAATTACTCTTGCATTAACCAAGAGCCATGAATGAACTTCATTGAGACTTTCTATCCAAATATTTACTTAGAAACTAATGTTGTTTTTTATTTGCAACAGAAGTTGAATCAACAACATGCAATTCATAATGGAATGAATCGAGAGAATTATTAAATAATTATTGGAGTTCTTTTTTATTGAAAGACATCAAATCGAAATTTGAACAATTGTCTAGGATTGAGTGTTCAATTGAACAAATATCTGACCTTCAATCAAAAAAATCAGCAGCAAAACTACATAATAGAATAGGCAATGTCAGATATTTTTGATGCCCATCCTTAAACTGTAGCAAACATTGCAAGCATTGCTGACACATATTTTATAGATATTTTGATTATTAAATGAGATTAGTATGAGAACTAGTTTGTATGGACGAACGAATGTATTATTATTAATTATAAATAATAAGCGGTTAAATATGGATTATTTTTTATACTAATAAGCATGACACTTCCATAACTGCTTAGCATTCTTTGACGTTGTCAAAGCAAGATGTTAATTTTTTTTCCGGCTACACATGCGAATACGTCACACATGCTTAAAGATTTTGCGGCTGTTTTTTTTTTTTGTTCTCATTAAGCTGCTTTATTTTATACAATTTAATGACTAGATGCTTTTAGCAGATCAAGATTGCTGTCAAAGTGCAAGTTTTTAAATAATTTGCTTCTTTGTCTTCTTTAGACATGCTTTGTCCTTGTTTAGGTCAGGTATGAATTAAGAAGCTGTCTCTAACTTATGGCGTCTGTCAAAATGGAATGTTTTTAAGAAATTCTGTACTAAGATGTTACCAAATCGAAGATCAAATGTAAAGGAGCATAAGACATGCTTTCTTAGAGAAGCTACTTCTGTATGGTGAACTCTAGGATGAGTTGAGTTTGACTTTCTCCTGACTTCATGGCCAAATGAACCTCGTAATTACTGAACACACCCTTAATGAGCTGGTTTATGTTCTGGCGTCAGTATCTTAAAGTATAAATCGAAGTCGATTTGAAATTTGGACGAAGTAGAGTCGAATGCAACATTCTGTAGCATCTGAAGCTTGTTAAAATCAGGTAAAAAACGATTTGAATTTGATCTTTATCTTAAAAGACGGATTAAGTATATTTATCAATTATTTAAGGAGGGTAGAGTCTTAGTAACGGGACAATAAGTCAGTAAGATTCATGAACAATTTATTTCAACCAAAAACAATTAACGACTAGAACAACATCTAAGGATAATCCAGTTTGTAAGAGTTTGCATCAAAAAGCGTATTAATCTGTTATTTAAGAATAAGTTGAAGTTCAAAGCCTGTAAAAAAGCATTGAAATTGAATTCCCTCCTTATCTCTTATTTAAAGAACAGCACCAAATATGACTCAGAAATCGAAAGCAGAAATTCTCTAAAAAGCACAACTTAAAAGCATAAACAAGCAGCTATTCTATAATTGCATGATAAATCACTTTTAAATATCATAAAGCCACCACAACACTTCCGATAAAATCTAATACCACATTAGTTAAAGTATCATTTTATTGTCATGACTTCGTGCGTTTGAATTAATCCAAAATAGCTCAACAACAGTCCACAAACAATGAGTCTTACACTCAGCTAGCTCTAAATACCCTCAAAATTAATAGAACTATAATTGTGAATAATAGAACAATTAAATGTATTTCATATTTGTTCCGCATTTGCGACACTCCTTGATAATAAGAAACCACAAATCGAAGCGCGTGCGAGACAACTTTTTTCAACAGCCTCACTTATGTCAAGTCGTAGTTTCTGATTGCTTTTATTCTGTCACATTTTTTAAGTACTTATGAAATGATTTTTTTCGCACGCTTAATGCTTCATTTTATTCCTTTTTGTTGTGTATCCAACGTTTAATTGAGGAAGAATCGACGAACTTTAATTGTCAATTTATCCTTGATCAAACTCATGTGTTATATGCTTCTATTATTGCATGCGAGAATTTTCATTACCAGAATCTACCTGAATTGGTGCTGTTGGGCATTACAAACTTAAACTTTCAATTTAATGTGCTAAATACTTGTTTCCGGGAAATTTTCAACTCGATTCACTAAATTGCATGTTTTATGGCTACTTGACTTGCTTGTTATTACTTGATTCGATTTTAAATTGAGGATTTTTCCGAGTGGTTCATGGCGTGTTGTGGTCAATGCATTTGATGTTCTGAATTAAATTCATTCATGTACAGCTCGGATTTGATCTCAAGTTTATTATAACAAGATCTTTAAAATTGCTTCTTTAGCACCAACACTAAACATATGTAGATCATCAAAGTCATAAGGATTTGATCCGGGTTAGTTGGAGTATTTTAATGATTGTATAAAAATCTATAAAGTCTATTTGACCATAAGAAACAGAATGTAGATATAGTTGGGGATTATTACTTTAATTTTATTTCCTAAGTCGTTCTATGAATCATTTAAGGTAGAGCAAAGACTTTATCTTGTTAAGAATCGTAAGAATCTTTAACTAAGGCTAGTGATGTCTACCAAAAAGTTGAGTTTTTATTACTTTTAGTTGAGGAACGTAGCTAGTATTTTTTAAGGTTTCGATATTGTCCTTAAGTATCCATGACCTTAATGTTACCCCAAAGCTAGGGTTAGATTCAGATCTTTCTTACTAAGCAGTTTTGGATCCATGTCAAAAAGGGTTATACTAGCTTTAAATCGAAAATCAGAGAGTAAGTACCTCTGTAAGCCTTAGAAACCGGTTCCAAGTCAAAACCCGCCTTAAATTCTTCTTGGGTATGTTAAGAACATCAAAAGATAACTATCCCTTTGAAAGAATTTCTTGCAATTACTTTTTGCCTACAAGATGACATTAAGATAATATCAATTCCATCCAATAATAATAAGCAGATCAATAAAAGCCGCTTTTACTGTAAAATGATACTTTCAACACACACACACAACTTCACCAAGAAACATACAAAATTGTCCATAATCTATTTACTTAAAGATTGCAAAATCATCTCAAAGCCTGACATTTTTAAGCAAATCAGACATTTTGACCATTCATGTCTACAATTAACCTGCTATTACAATAATTTGTGCATTATAAATAAGAGATTAATTTAATTTTGCAATTTAGCTCCAATTTAAACTCGCGTTTTTTGTTTTGAGCATAAAAATTTCCACACCTGATTTATGGCTACATCAATTTTATAATTATTAAATTAGTAATAGAAATATTGCACTAGTCCACACATAACTCTAAAATTAATTCGTTCATTGATTTTATTTAAATCTTAAAATCATCGCCATCGCTTCATTGATTGAGCTTTTTTTTTGCATAATTCACATGCGTTTGCGGTGTACTTATGTGTCTGGTATGTCAAAATTGTATGCCACCGTAATGAGCATGTGAAATAATGCGAAACAAAATAATAATAATAATCTTACATGATGCCAAAAAATTGTTTTATGCGAGAAAAGACACAACTAATTTTTTTGAGGGTACGTAAACATCAAATGTAATTCCATTATTTCTGAATATCATTATTATTGTACACATTTAATTTAGAAATCAGTCATAAACTACATTTCTTTGCGCCTTACGCAGCATAATGATTATGCTTATGATTGAAAAATTACGAATGTTATGAGACAATCCGCGACGATTGTGTCAAGTTTGAGGAGTGATACAACATTGAAGCGCCAACGACACGGTTTTGACATTCCCACATTCACGCTGAAAATTATTAACATTGTAAAAAAATATAAAGTAACGCATTCTGTAAAAGGGAAGCATCTTGAGAAGACACAATTTATGACTAATCGCTACCAGGCACGTTACTTTTTATTTACTGCATAAAGTTAATAATGAAGATTCGAGAATGAGTGTGAATGTTATTATGAAAAAGATGGAGTGACGCATTTTAACTTGATTTTAAGTTTTGAGCTGCATCTGCGCCATAGATAAATTTTTTTCCTGATCGGCTCATTAAATGTTCTAAGTTTTGCTCAGTTTTGCTTATTCTAACCATGTAGAATATTTGTATTTTGCATCAATTTCTGTGGCTAATGATAAAATTCAACAGATATTTTGAATTTTCGCATCAGTTTTGCTTCAATTTCAATTGAATTTCACTTCAGAATCACAAACTTCTTTTATATTTTTTGCATCATTTATAATTTTTGCATCATTTTAAACTAGGCTTCGCTCCAATTTAATCAAGTTTCGCTTCAATTTAACCGAAATTTTTTTGCATCACTTTTAAAATTATGTTTACATCAATTCACATGAAACGAAAGTTTAAATTTTTGCATCTTTTTTGGTTCACTTTTGTTAAACTTTTCATTATTTTCGCATCATTAACGTTTAAATTTGCATTAATCCTACAAATTTAGCTTCCTTTCCCACAAATCAATCAATTTTTTGCATCAATCATTATTAAAAATGAGCATTTCTGCACCAAATCAAGCAAATTACTCTACAAAGAAGGAAACTAATAAATTTTACTCAAAATTGCTGAACAAAAGCACCCAGAATGTAGCGATTAGCTTCATCTTTCTCCTTGAAAATTCAAATCTTAAGAGCAAGTAAGAAAAATGTAATTTAATTAACAATGAGAAAAATAAATGAGAATTCATGGTGATTTTGCAGAAATAAATTTTTGTCATAATTTCAAATGTAATTCGCACTTCCTCATTTTGAGCCTACCGTGGTCGTAAAATATGAATATGAAATGGAATAAAAAAACAGTTTCTAAAGCTGGTTTCACAAGAAGTTCGAAGCATTTCTGGTGCAATGCAACAAAAAAAAAATGAATTTATTGCTTTTTTTCGTATTTGCTTACATGTTATGAACAATGAACTCAAAAGGCAGGCAACATTTTTGTTCACATGATAGGGCAAGATCAATAATTAAATAAAACAAGCAAGCAAGCAAGCTACAATACTTGATATTTGAATTAGTTTTGTTTCATGGACTCAATGTGCAGTAAATTGAGTTTGGCTCGAGCTTCGCCAAGGATTTTAACATAAATCATCCGTGGATTATTAGATTGAGATATTATTGGTGAATGATTTTGTGATCGTCGAGTACTAACCAACCTCAACTTTATATTTTTATGGCATACTAAGTAGCTAGCAAGCAAGTTCAAAGAGTCAGCGGAAAGTACTTCAAGTGGAAAATTGACTCGTGTACAGCTGCCGCCTTAATCATACACTATTAATTTAATATGTGTTTTACAATAATTGTAATGAGGGGAAATTAAGATAAGTTTCATTGTGCTGCTTTTTTTATCTCAAAACAACATTAATTGGCTTTTCTTTAATGCTCACAATCAGCGCGTTACTACAAACAAAAAACTTTTATTTTCTACTTTTGGTTATGTTTACGTTTATGCTGCATTTTCTCTTCAACCTCAAATGTTATGCTCTATTTAGTTTTTTATTAAATTTGTTTGGATGTCTTACTCTAATTTTTTTGCCCTGAGCATTTCACTTATGCTAATGAATAATCACTGACTTGACTTGACTTGAGTTCATCAACATGAAAAATTCCTCGAATTTTTAAAATAAGCTTTGATCGATTCAAAGACGAACGGAAGCTCAACATTATTATTGATCTACATTTAAAATTGGCTTAATGGATTGATTTAAGCACGCGACCTCCGAAAATTAACAGCGGCTGGGTGTGAGCAATTATTATGATAAATTGTCATGTTCCATTATTTTGAGTCAACGGAATCAAAACATGAATGGGTTGGACACATGGTATGTAAATCAGTTGAAACTTTAGTGGATGCATGCTGATTTAGGAGTATTTTTCGAATGCGTTATCAAAATTGAAAGTGTCTAATCTCAATGTGATCATGTTGATTAAGTTTCTTCTAGCATGGCTACATGATTTTATGCAAAAGACTCTTACAAATAATAAATTGTTTTTTGTCAATTTTAACATTTTATGACATTTATAGGCTGTCAAAAGGTTTGCAACAATCATATTAAGCATTATTAAATGCTATTTTAGCAAGCAAGCATAACGAAACCCCTCAATTAAGCCAAAATTTGTCATATAATGAAAATTTTAACGCTCAAAAAATATTTAAATTTTCCATAGCTAAATGTCGTACAAAGACCCCCAAAAATTAATACTCACAGCAAATGTTTGGAATGGAAAGAATGACGGCGTTGATGGTCCATCTAAATACAAATCATGTTGTTGGTAATTTCCAGATTGCTGCTGTTGACCTTGTTGCTGCTGTGATGCAGCCGATCGCTGTGGCACAGAAGGAAAAAATCCATTTCGAGAATTTTGTGGGAATGATGACAAGAAACGACCTTGTGGCTGATGGTAATTCAAGTAGTTTTGATTTTCTGGAATTTTTTTCATGTTCAAGAAAATGAAGAAAAAAAAATACAATTAAATTAAAATGAGATACACAGCAACAATAATGCATTCTTGAATGCATCGTATTATGTTGTTTTATGACCATGAAAGAGTCTGTCAGATATTTTGTCGGCAACAATGAGATTCTGTTGCAAATATTCGCTTTTCATAAACTAAGTATGCTTATTATGTGACTATATTCCATTTTCTTTAAAAATTATAGTCCATCGATAGTCACGAAATGATGCTATTAAAAAATGTATTGGATATTGAATGGTTAACGAGTGCAAAAATGTATTATTATGTAGGCACATACAGTTCAATAAAATAAAAATTGAATAATTGCATTTGGGCATATAAAAAATATATTTTAAAAATTATTGAACCGCCTAAATGGATTTATAGGTCTGTATTATATATGTGCTGAAAATTGAGCCGTTATATTTGACCATCGAGTGAGCGTTCGCTTGTTTATTGAACTTACATATGAGAAGTTATTGCACAGCATGAGTAACAAAACAATTTATTCATTCATTTATTGTAAACTAATTGTGACGTGGTTTTTGTTGAAACAAATGAGATTTTATGCTTAATTTTCCTGGTTTTTATAGTTTTAAATTTTTTTGTTGCAAAAATGTAATTTTAAGTTTAAAGCAATAGGTTTTTATGATTTTCTAATAAGGTAGTAATTGGCTTACATATAACCAGGGTGGGGATTTAAATCATAAATCAAAATCAAAATCAAAATCATTTTGCAATGATTTGAAAAATGATTTTTGATTTAAATCATTTTACCCAAGTGATTTATTTTTGATTTATGATTTAAATCATTTTGTATGAAAGATTTATTTGTGATTTATGATTTAAATCACATTGTATGGGGATTTTTTTTTGGGATTTTAAATCATTTGAAGGTGAAAATTTGTTTGGGAATTTTCAGAAGATTAATTAAAAACATTAATCATTAATCATGGATATCCTTTATGGCTTTTCAAATTTTCACCTTCAAGTAATTTAAAATCCCAAAAAAAAATCCTCATACAATGTGATTTAAATCATAAATCACAAATAAATCTTTCATACAAAATGATTTAAATCATAAATCAAAAATAAATCACTTGGGTAAAATGATTTAAATCAAAAATCATTTTTCAAATCATTCTTCATTGAGATTTAGATCAAAAATCACAATTTGATTTGTGATTTTGATTTAAATCGCAAAAAACTTCCCCACCCTGCACATAACTCTTTTTATTGGACTTATTATGTTCCTTAAAATCAGCAGAGAATGTAAAAAAAACTATTTGAAAATGATTTGTTTACATTTTCACTTGGAGTTTTTGGTTATAAAATTTGACTTAAATTCATGCATTTTTATGCTTTGAATGATGGTAAATAGCTAAATGTACGTAAGCAAAGCTTTTGATATTAGTTTTGATCAGCAAATCAGTCTTAACAACTTAAAATTTGTAAATCTTCAATTTTCAATCAATAATTTTTTTGTAAGCAAACAAGATAAAAATGCGGGAAAATTTAAATTTCTAAAATATCGAAATTTTGTTTTTCAATAAGAAAATTGAAACCGTAATGCTAAAATCTCAAATCTAAACAATTCAAGCTGTTGAAACCAAAAGTTAACCCTTTTGAAAATAAACCAGCAAAAAAAAAACAAAATTCAATCAGAAAACCATAAAAACAAAGCAACCATTCACATTTCTGTGGCTTTTTTTGTAGGCTTTTGACTCCTATGTGAATTTAACCATTGCTCAGAGGTCATTCTTTTCATAATTTTGTTCACATCAACTATGCCAACATTAGATATGCGATTTTTCTCAGACCCAGTCACATTTCATCACGATCGACATCTATTTGCTTATTTCTTTCTAGTCAATCGGTTGTGAATGAAATCAAAAACTCACAATCAGAATTGAAAATTAATGAATGTAGATTGTGTGAACATTTCCACGCGTCAAATCGTATGTGTGATTTGCCATTTGTAAGCAAAATGTAAGCAAGAAGAAGGAGAAAAAAAATTAAATTGAATAGATTTTGTTTGTTTTGTCTTGCCTCTCTTGCTTGCAATTAATGCAATCTCATTCATTGGCAATTGGATTTAATTCAATCAAAAAAAAAAAATGAGAATAAAAAAAATTCAATTCAATTAAAATTTCTTCTTATTGCTGCTGCTGCTGGTTGTTGCAGCTGTCTTGACGTGACAAAAATTAAATTTCATCCGAAATATTTCATCCAAAAAAAAAGAAAATTTCTGTGGTTGCACAACAATCTCTCAATTTTAATTTTTTTTTTTTAAAATTACACGCAGTTTCATCTTATCGCCTTATTTAATCATAATTGACTCTGGCACATCATGACAACCAGTAGACTAATTGAAGTTGTGGATGAGTGTCAGGGTTGTTAAGTCTTTATAAGTTGCAATTTTAGATGTCATCAATATTTCTTCAGTGAATTATTGTTACAAATTTTTTGATTGAAAGGAAGTGTTGTCATATTTTGTCATGCAAATGTGTTAATTTAATGATTTTAAATTAAGAAATTTTGACATTTTATTGCTCAACTGTCAAAATAAAATTTAAAAGTCCCCAAACGTGAACTTAGCTTAAATTAGAAATTTCAAATTTCGAATGCTTGTTACTAATAAATTTAAATGTTCTTCAACATGAAGTTATCACCGATTAAGAAGAAATTTTCAAATAATAAGAGTCCGTTACTAATTAAAATGATTAAAAGTGAAAATATTCAATCGAAATCTTAATTGTAAAGCTCACAATCATTCCTCGCACAGCACCATTTAAATATGATAAATGATCTATGCTCATCAATGCCCATACACCAGCTCTGAATGTTTCTCTTTTATATTTTTTATTCAATTTTTTTAAACTTAAATTTGACTTTCTTTCAACTTCCACTCACTTTCGATACATCAAAGCAGCATGTTGAGATTCTTTTTTACTATCATTGATTTTCTCTCTCTCTTTCCACACACGCTCGTACACATGTGCAACATTATTAACAACAATGTGAATGAATGGAAATTATAAGAAGCACATTATAATGGCTCATTTTGTAAAGCATTTATTAATCATTCGGAAATTATAAAAGAAAGCTTTAACAATTGCATTTCTCAATAATTGTAGATGGACAGGTTGATAGACTGATAAGAAAAGCAAGGGAAACGACAAAAATAGAATTGTTGGAATTGATTTGCTTTAATCGACGGATTTATCACTGTAAGGTTAATTAAGTAAAAAATCGTGATTTGCATCATTTTAATTTCTTTAAATTATTTCCTCAATTAGCTATGTGACATTATTGCATATATTTCTAAGTGTCAACAAACTCAGTGGGAACCATTAATTATCACTCATTGCTCATTGAAAAATTACGTAATTATTTTAAGAAACTGGGTAATTGCGTGATTAATTCTAGCATGCTGTCATCACTTTATCATCGCTTTATAATGAAATTAACTTGGATTGTTGAAGACGAATCTATTATGACTAATTATTGAGCATGGCCATTAGATTAGGCATGAAGAATTTTAAAAAATATTTGTATATGACATTCAGATAGATGTTTTGGCGCGAATTAAAGGATGTTTTGAAGATATGTTGCTGATTCCAATGGATATAAGATCACTTAAAATTCTGTCACTTGTGATGATTTTTTGCGGTGTGGCTAGGTAAGTGGAAAATACAGATTTCAAACCTAATCCCAAATAAAAGATTTAATTTCATTCTGAGAATCTTTTGTGGATTAATCAAGTTGATTGATTGGCTTAGGAGTCGTTCACTTATAAGGTTCCAGACTTAGCATTATTAAGTAAAGGTTTGGACATTACTTAGCCACCACTCATTAAAAACTCAACCTCAAATTCAAATATATTGCCTTGAAATTAGCCATAACATAAGTATTTGAATCAATAGATAATTTTACATAATGCTTAAAATTTAATAATGGATACCAATTGGCAATTGCAAATATTGTTTTTTATGTAATTGTCCACAAATGAGATAAATTTGAACATGGTTGTGGCATTTTTATTTGTAGGAAATTTGTTAAACATCAGATCTAATATAATATCGAGTTTCTTGAATTTATTGAACTTTATTGAAGATCCAGAAAAGCAATCTAGTTCTCATCAGGAGGCTAATGCCATTAAAGCTAGCATAATTATTGTGAAAACGCTCAAAAGAGCATAATTACAAAAGCTCATGATCTTCAAGATACTAAAGATCATGGATTGTTCATTAATCGATGCTTAAAATTTAAATGACTTGCCATAGGTCAGTAAGAAGTTTTGATTAAATATTGCCGGTCATTAACATAGATGAAAAAGCTTTTTGAACAATAAGGGGTTATCCATAAATGACATAAAGAGTTTTTTAAACAGCAATTTTAAAAACCGATAGAAAATCATTTGAATTGAAAGATCAATAAATGCGGGAAAATTCAAAAATAAATTTAACGGTTTTTTTTAAAAACTAGTGTTATCAAAACAGGAGCTAGTAACATAATTTCTTGGACCCTTTCAAATGCTGGACATCATTAATAAACAATTCCTTACCAATAATAATAAATATAAATATGAAAGAAAAGCTCAATTTAATTTAATTAATGAAAACTATAACAAGCCATTAAAGAAGTTCCATTAAGCATTTTTTCAATTAGTAATTCAAACATAAATTCATTATGGCATGTAAATATAAATATCTACATTAAGTAAACGGTGCAGGCTGGTTGAGGAAAAGGAAAGAAGAGAGAAAAAAAATCAGACTTGACCTTTCTGGTCGTAACTGCAATGATTTCATCTATAAAGTACTCTTTGGTTTGTGCCAGTAACCAGATCCATTATCTTAACGACCCTTTGTTAGAAACTGAACTTCTCGGTGAAGTCAAACTGCTATTAATATTTTTTTTTTTTGCTGTTAGGTACGAGAATGACATTCCTACGGTATTATTCAGAGAA